AGGGGCGGGGGTGTGCAGCTAAGCTGGGGAGCAGGGAGGCTCCTTTATTCCCTTGGGGGGTAAGGAGGAGGAGGAAGAAGAAGCCGCTTCTTCCTCCTGGATGGTGTGGGAGGGGGGTGGAGAGGGGTATAGAACGGGGGGGGGGGCGTTGCTTGCCCTGGGAGAGGGCAGGATGGGGCTGGAGGGAGCTGAATTCCTCCTCTTGGCCCTGGGAGTGCACCTGGGAGCGTCCCACCCCCTCCCCTCCTGTGGGACAGGGGCCCTGGGGGGAGGGAGGTGTCGCCAGACCCTTGGGAACTCCCTGGGGCTGGGCCTTTGCTGCAGAGCAGCGACAAAGCATGGTGGGCCAAATCCTGGCTTCTCCCTTATTCATTATTCATGTGCCAGCCGATGGGAGGGAGGTGGGGAGGGCTGAGCACCACACCGACGTAAGAGCATGGAAGGGCGATCATGCCTGTTTGTTCTTTCCCTGGCCTCGCTGGCTTCCCTTGACCTGCTCTCACAGGGCAGGAGGGAGAACGTCTGTTTCCCAGCTCCTTTTGAGCCATGTTTCCCAACCCTCTTGCTGTCTCTGATGTTTATTTTCTTGGTTGGTCGCTGTGCGGCCTCCTCTCCTTTCCCACTGGGTGTCAGAATGAGATAGATGAGCTGAGGACTGAGATGGATGAGATGAGGGACAGTTTCTCCGAGGAGGACGCTTGTCAGCTTCAGGAAATGCGCCACGAATTGGAGAGAGCCAACAAGAACTGCCGGATCCTACAGTACCGGCTACGTAAGGCTGAACGCAAGCGGCTCCGCTATGCTCAGACCGGGGAGATTGATGGAGAGCTCCTGCGGAGCATGGAGCAGGACCTCAAGGTACAGAAGGCTCTCACATTAGCGACTGCTGGTGGGGTTGAAGATGGGGAGGAGAACTGCTTCACTGAGGCAAATGCCTGTTCCCAAATGAGCCTTGACTCAGACATTTTTCTCAATGCTATTTTGAAACATGCACCCTTGAGAGCAATATGGGACCACAGGATAGCCAAGGCCAGATTTATACTTTTCGGTCTTCAGCAGTATTTTATAGGGCTCTGGGATCAACTTTTACTCTTTACTTAATCCCATTTTTATTGAACTTAGTGGAAGTTTGAGTGAGAAGTGTTTAAGATGTGTGTAAGGCTGACAGGATATGGCCCTTTGTTTGTCATTGCAAGAAAACAAACCAAAACACTCTGCTCCAGGTCCTGAAACCCCACTGAATAGTCCCATTGACTGCTGTGAGAATATTATAACATTCAGTCCAGCTTCAATGGAACTATTCGCGTAAGTTATTCATAGGGCAAAAAACTGGCTCTACTGAAATCAATGGGGAAAAAAAAACCCTTGTCTATAGTGGAGCCAAGATTTCGCCCATAGATCCTAGGACAGAAGGAACCATTATGATCATTTAGTCTGCCTTCCTTCATTGTATAGGCCATAGAATGTTACCAGGCAATTTCTGCATATGACCGATAACTTCTGCCTGAACTATAACAGATGTTTTAGAAAGACTTTCAGATCTGATTTATAGACTTCAGACAATGGAAAATCTAACACACTCAATATGGAAGTTCATTGCTGTAAAAATGGTGTTTTATAATCTTCATTTGTCTAGGTTCAGCTTTCATCCACTAATTCTTGTTCTTCTCTCATAACTCTTATCTCTACACAAAGACCGTGGTCAAGTCACCTCTTAACCTCCTTTGTTAGAAGCTAAATAGAATAAGCATCTTTAGTCACACACAGTTAGGGTGTTTTCCACATGTAGGTTATTTATAGGGCTCTTTTCTGAACCCCTTCCAGCTTGTACAGTATCCTTGTTACTGTTCCTTGTTAAAATGTGGACACCAGAATGAGGTATGGCATTCCCATAAGTTTTCTCCACTGATGCCATGTAATGCCATACTAACATCTTTCTACTTCTATTTATTATTTGCATTCTTATCAAGGATTGCATTTTCTGCCTTGCCCATCTCATTCCATGAGGGGTAGACGTGGTCAGGAATATTTGCCAAAACATTTTTTTCCAAACCAAACTTTTTTTTGGACAGAAACATAATGATTTGATGCAGCTTTCTCAGGTGTACGAGAAAGCTTATGGAAAAATATTTAAGAGTCAGCCTCACACCTGAGAACAAGCAGGTGGTTAAAGTGCTCAGCCGGCATGTAGGAAGCTGATGTTCAAGTTCCTGCTCTACCCACTTGAAAAAGGAACTTGGATCTGGGTCTCTTGCATCCCAAGTGAATATTCTAAGTCTGGGCTAGAGTCACTCTTTTTTTTTCAGCTCTTCCATGTTTTATTAATTACTAAATATTCACTGGGCCTGATAGAAAGAACTGCTTCTGTAGCCCAGTAATTAGGGTACCAACCGAAATTATGGTAGAACTCTGTTCAGGTTCCTGGTTTGAATTAGGTACAGCAATCATCCAATCCTAGATTTCCCACATCCCATATGAATGTTCTAACCATCAGACTATTGCATATTCTGATGTGTAAGGGTCTCTTTCTTATTTTCTTCCTGAAAAATTTCTAAAAGCTTTGGCTTTATTTTGCATCAAAATGGAAGCAAATGCCAAAACCTTGACCTTTTTTTTACTAGTCCTCCATATGCCCTCTAAATTCATGATGCCCTCTCAGTGACATTGCTTTCCAAAATAAAGCTGTCCATCCTACAAGGGTAACTCATATTTTTGTTTCCCTGATGTATAGTATTGCATTTACCTGTATTAAAATGTATGTTGTTCAAGGAAGCCCAATTTACCTAGTGATCCAGATAGCTCTCTAGTGTTCACCTGTCATTATTATTTGTCATTATATCAATGTTGCTGTTATGTACAAACTTCACCAATAATCTTTTTACTTTGTCTTTGATATTTCTGATGAAGACTTTGGATAATGGAGGGTTAAACAGTTACTTCTGGGACCTCACTACAAATGACCCTTTAGAAATGAGGATTCCCCATTCACAATTGCTTTTTGAGATAGCCTGTTTTGAATCCACTGTGCTGCTTTGGTTTTTGTATAACATTACTTTTGATCAGATTATTTTGTGGGGCCTTATGCTCCACAAATGCCTTATTGAAGTCTACATGAGTCAAAGTGTTTACCCTTGCCAATCAAACTTTTACTCTCCCCCAAAATTTTTATCAAATGGCATCTAGTGTAAGGAACCTAGGCCTTATCCTTCTGTCAGGACCAGAAAGCAGAGTAACAAAGAGCCAGTTACACTAGCTCATTGGTAGCTGAGGAATCTCTGGTGTTGGTGAAATGTCCAGCTGAGCAAAGCAAGTCAGGATCTGCCCCTGTGATTTGATATCTCACAGTCCCTTTTCATAGGATACACTTGGAATTCAACTAGCATGGTTTCTTCATCTCCATCCTCTGGGCAGTATGAATGTGTCTTGTGTGTGTGCATGGTGGCAAGGTTATTGATTGATTGTGTTCTAGCATACAGCAGTTGTATTGGTACACTCACTCATGGTTGTGTTTCCTGTCAAGAGAGTGAGTCACTAGCTGCTGCTACTGCTGCTGCTTTCTGATGGAGAAGATTCTTTTTGATTACCTGCTAGCCAATGTTTTGTTTTCCTTTAAAGATGCAGTAAATTAAAAAGCATATTTTGAAATTGTTAGTAATATTGTCTTGTTCATAAAAGATAGATCTCTGATCTCAGGCTAAGTACTGCAAACACCAAGAAGGGATTAACTATGTTTTTCCATTCTTAAAGAAAGCCACAAGTCCAACCTTTTAAAATGACTCTCATGATACCAAAATCATCATGATAGTCATTGTTGATGTTTACCTCAATATTTTAGATTCATAGACATTAGGGCCAGAAGGGACCTTGGAAGATCATCAAGTCGCAGGAAGTCAGCAGGGGTCATAGGATCCCAGCAAGAAAGACATTCAAATGTCTCTTGAAGGCATTTAAAGTAGGTGCTTGAACCACCTCTGGCAGAAGTCTATTCCAAACATTGGGGGCTCAGACAGTAAAAAAGTTCTTCTTTATGTCTAGCCTGAAATGGTCATGGAGGGAGCTTGTGACCGTTCGATCTTGTCATCCCTTGGGGCGCTCTGGTGAAAAGGCGTTCCCCCAGATCCTGATATATGTGTTATTCTAGTTTTATTAGTGCCATTAAGTTACAGTGCAGTGACATGAGAGGCAAAGCTAATGCTGAAGTGGGAAAAAGGATTATGTCCTCTATTTCTTTAAACCCTGCTCCTGTGACAGCGCATTTCAAAATGTAACACAAAAATGCTGAGTCATTGCTTCACTTTAAAAAATTATATTGTGTTTTGGTGAATAACACAGGTTCTTGGTCAAAGACATCTGTGATTTATCCTATTTTTCTTTTTTATTAATGTTATTAGAAATAAAGATGGAATTTTAATTTACTTTGATTGTGAATGGGGAGGAAAGCAAGAAATTGTTCCCCCTACTTTTGGTCCCATATGATGCCCAGACAGCATCGGGCTAGAGAGAACATGGACTCTTCACTTAGCTAGCACTCCCATAGATAATAAATGCTTAACAGGATCGTACTCGGGTGCAGTCAGAGGGGAAGTGGTAGAGCAGCAGGAGTAGGGAGAACTGGCTATGTTTGAAAGCGTGCACAATCTGTACTGTCTCCAAGGGTGATGAAGCTGATGCTCTGCTTTTTGCTTTGAGTAGCCCCAAGGTGTCATACAGATATAGGTTCTGATGCAACTCTCATTGAAGACAGTGGAAAGAATCCTCTTTCATAGTGAAAGTTAGTGAAAGATAGACAGAATTCCCGGTCATCTGATTTCCTTCTGAATACTGTCCTCTATGCATTCCCTTAACACGTTTTCTACTAAACAAGAGACAGAATCAGTGCCCAAGTGGTTAGAATTAGTGTAATAACTTCTCGCCTTGTTTTTCTTTTTACTTACAATTCCATTTAGGTTGCAAAGGATGTTTCAGTAAGACTTCATCATGAATTAGAAAATGTGGAAGAAAAGCGTACTATAACAGAAGATGAAAATGAAAAGTTAAGACAGCAGCTTATAGAAGTTGAGATTGCCAAGCAGGCTCTACAGAATGAACTGGAAAAAATGAAAGAGGTTAGTTAGTACTGTAATTTTACTGTTGATACTTCAAAGTATGTGAAAGATAATTTATGCCAACCTGAAATTCTGACACTGTCATTCCTGAAATAATGTCTATTTCATATAGCAGCTACAGTCAAAGAGGAACTTTGAGTGCTCAAATATGGAAGAACAAATCCTAAAAATACTAGAGTAAGGCACCTTGGTTTGGGGAAGTTGTAAACAAATTGGAAAAAATAAAATGCTTTTTAAATATCTCTTAAAAGGCACCTTTACACATGCTCTGGGGTGGGGGAGGGGGTGCATTTTGATTAGAGTGGTTCTTGGGAGCCTCTCTAAGTAAAACACCTATAGCATCTTGTGTATTCAGCACCCTGAGCTCCAAAATGGTGATAAGGGCACTTTAACTAAAGTTCATTTGACAAGCTTTAGTTAAAGCGCCCCTGCCACCATTTTGAAATGCAGGGGTGCTAACTGAATGCATGCAATGCCGAGGCTGTCAGAGCATTCTTATTAGTGACTGAATGAATCAAGCCTGCTCCAATGCATTCTAATTAGAACATGTTGGAGCAGACATGTGTATAGGTGCCCATAGAAAGACTGACTGTAACCTTGCTTTTCTCTGAAGCTCTGGTGATATAAAGCTGCTGTGGCTGAGGGTCTGAGGGATTCTGCCTGTGCATGACAGATGCAGGAATAATGCTTATGGGAGATCTAGGCATATGAATTTGCTGAATGGTGTTCCTTATACCTGCTTTTATAAGAAGCAGCACATGTTCCTTTAGCAAATGCTGCCAGACACTCGCTAGCCTGCAGTGGAGGAAGGTTTTGGCTGTGTTCCCATTCCAGATAGTCCCATCCGCTTTGAATTTGGAATGAAATGTTCAATCTATATAATGCCTGAGTCTCATGTAAGATGCTGAAGCAAGGAAAATGCTCTCTTCATCCTCTTCCTCAGGCCCTAGCTGCAAATGCACCCAGAATTTTGCTACTAAAGTAAATAGACATGTGCAACAGCAGTACCTCATGCAGTAGGTGGCAAGATAACAAGCCATATGTTAACAGGAAAAGGAGTGATTTAAAAATGAATGTTCTAAACAGATTTGGGGAATAACTCACCCCTCCAGTACATCTGTTCAGGGAATGCCTCTGATTGCCATTATAGAAATACTTCCCAGCAGGAAGTCCAGGTTCTAACTTGATATTGTTTAAGACTGAAGAAATGCATTTCAGTTGATAAAGTCAGGAAGAAAGCTATATGGTAAGTTATATTACTTTTAGATTTTTTTTGTTATAATTTAGCAGTGGTGCTTTGTAAACAATCCCTGTATGTTTTTTCACAGATATTGATATGTAAAACTCTCAGTAGAGGATAGAATGGTGTCCACTGCCACCTTACTACAAGCTTCTTTTTGCTGCTTTTCCATCTAGTAGCAGGTCTGCAAAGTACATGAAATTCTGACCTGCTCCAGCTTCTACCTCCTCTTCTATTTCCTTCTTTTCTGTTTTCATCCTGGTTTTCACTATAAAACATCACTACTTTGAACTGCCAAAATAATTGGCTCACATGTGATTCTTTTCTGGTTACTCTTGCTGGGCTCAACTCCCCTCCAAACCTGTCCCTGTTCCATTCCATTTTCAATCTGGTCTGGTGTTTAGGGAAGATAACCCAGATAATTCTCTTCCTCCTGCCCAGTACTGCAGGTTGTGCCAACAATGAGCTTCTGCCTCATGGCTTGTTTCTTCTTGGGCTGTGAATTATCAAGTATAATATCAATTTGCTATCTCACATCCTTTATCAGCAAGCTACATCCTGTACATGTAGGAGAGTGAACTTAATGATAGGCCTTTATCACCTCTGCTGTCTGTCATCTCCTTCTGCTAACTTCTGAGTCTATTTTATACAGTTCCAGCCACCATCACTGAGCAGTGGTTTGCTCCTTTTATCTTCACTTCTCTCCTAACTTGAGCATCTGATGCTTCCGGTCTTTGCTCCTGATCCGGCAGAAAGATCCTTGGATTCTAGGAAGAAGGAAAAAGACACTCTGTGGTTTGGCTTTTCTTGATACTGTTATCTGAGCTGAAGCTGACTCATGATACCTTCAGTCAAAATGATTGAACTAGGGCAGAGTAGAAAACTAGTAGTAGGAATGGGGTAGACATTGGACATCAGATGCTGAACTTGAGAGGCAATGTTGGACTGTATCCTGAAGTAGAATAGAGAATTGTGCTCTATCAGAGCCTGAGTAGATGAGTATTATCAAGCTAAGGTGAGACCTTAGGAAGAAGAAAACTGCACCTCTTGGACCAGATTGCTGTCTCTCATGAATCAGGCACCTGAGGTAAAAGATGCTGGTTGTGGCTAGGACTGTCATCACAGAAAGCTGAAGGTGGTTGGGAAGAGGCAATGCATACACACAGAGAGAAGCAAAGTGTACGCTAAGATCATATGCTATTACTGTGATAATATGTGATCATTTTGCCAACAGCTGGAAAAGCAATGAAGGGAACTTGCGACAGAGTATGGCTTTCCCTTCTTACAAACTCGGAAGTTCAGTATGTGTGAACCTATTATGACATCTTCTTAAACCCATCTGCAATATAATACAATTTACCTACAGCAAATCTTGGTTTGCTGCCTTTCACAGATTCAGATGTTGATAGACATTTCATGAGTCTTAAATGACATCCTCAGACTGTCATAATGGTAGCTTGCTGTTTGTTTGTGAAAATCATTTCTCTTCTGTGAGTCCTTCTTTTGCTTGGCAGCACTTTCTCACTTCAGTAGTCTCATCAAAATCGGTGGGGTTTCGTAAATAAGTAAGTTCTGCTCAGTGTGAGTAAGGTTTGCAGAATCAAGTTCCTAAAATCTGATTCCCATCTCAGTTATTCCAGCTTTCATCACAGCCTTAGTCACCAGTCAATTCAGTTACCTTGATCATCCCAGAGTAATTATGAACAGAATGGGACTGATTTGAGTATTTTAAAATGAGATGTTTTATACATTTGCCTTAAAAATACAGAATTCTAAATTCTTGTCCTGGCAGGTAATAGAAAACCTGTATTTTCTTTAAAATTAACATATTGGTGACTTCTGTTGGAAATTTCTTTTCCTTGTAAAACAATGTACAGCTAAGAGTGATCTGCCAAAAGATGTGTAAGAGGATGTTGGAGGAAGAAGGAACATGACATGCTCTTGAGCATGCTTTAATCTCCAACTAGAACAGAACTGAATCCTGTAATGAAATCCTCATCATGAAGATGTTAGAACTGTGAGGTTACTGTTAAAGAAAATGTAAGATCCAAAATTCAAGAATGGATTTAGTGTGCATATGATCAGGGAAACATAAGAATTGCCATTTACTAGGTCAGACCATAGGTCCATCTTGCCCAGTATCCTGTGTCACACAATGGCAGAAAATAGATGCTGAAAAGCAACGTGAACAGGTATGACCAGGATTTTTTCCACTGTTCCTCTTTTACTTACAGCCACCAGCATTTAGGAGTTTATGCAGAGATGGATTTGAGCTCTTTACTGGAAACTTTTACTCATACTGACGTGGCAGTACATGCACATGCACATAAACACATAGCAGCTGATTCCTATTTCACTTGGATATCTTGAAAAATCAAAGGAACGGTGGTGTATTGTCAGATGAGTGAAAATTAATGTTTCTAATGGCAGAACCAACCTGCAGTCTGTTGAGGATCAGAATTTAGGGAACTCTTCTGCGCCATAGCATATAAGTATTTTTATACCAATTGTTGCACCTGCAGTCTGATGATGCCCTGTTTAATGTACTCTGAAAGTATTTTGCTTAACAATCTTATTCCCTCACATCTCCAGATGGAATCAGGCCAGTTAAGCTTTAGTGTACTTTGCATATTTTTCATGTGCACTGTGCAGTACCAGCCTTTGTATGTAACAACTTATGCTTAATTGCTTGTGTGAATGTAGTCAGTCTTGATACTAATTATTATTAATAATGATATTTATTTTTATTGCACTGTGTATCCACTGCTAGAACTATGCATTCTGTTATTGCTTTGGTTATTGTTATTAATTCTTCAACACCTTTGTAAGATTTTTTTAACCATTTTATTTCATCTTTACCTATGCAACTTAATGATAAATTTCTATTAAAGGCCACTGACCAAGTTCAGCAAAATATTATCCATATTTAAAACATAAAAAGATAGAAAAATAAGTGAAGAGTAATAATTAATTATTTAGGACTAGATTTTGTTCAGCCCTTATGTTACTTCTTAGGGTGATAGTAGGAAGGAAAGGTTCTCTTACTTGTACAGCTACAAAAAAGCCAAATACTATTACAATCTAGCAGCCAAGGGTATATGGGAGCCATTTACTAGATGCTTCCTTTTGGGAGAAATGAGTAGGTAAGAAATAAGCTAATAGCTGTGTGTGTGTGGAGTATGATAAACCTCATGCAGGGTTTCAGAAATCACTCCCTCCATACAAAGATGGAGCCTTGGGAAACATTGTGACTTCCTTAATGTAGTGCCTCCTGGTGAGGGATGCAGTCATGGGCCACTTTCTGTTCAGTGTTCAAACATTTTAAGTGTGAAGCAGCATGGTCCACTGAGTATGGTACTGGACTAGCAGTTTTAAAAAAATTGGGTTCTGTTCCCACCTTTTTTCACTGACCCACTCTTTGACCGTAGCCAAGTCATTTTACCTCTCTGTTTTCTGTTTCCTTCTCCCTTGTTTTTTTCGGTTTTTTTAATCAGAATGTCTGTGGGACTGAGACTATCTCATATTATGGGTTTGAAGATTGCCAAGTGCAATAGAACAATGATCTCAGTTGGGCTCTTTAGGTGCTAGAGTAATGGAAGTAATACTTTATCCCCTAATACTTAACATGTATCTTGTGCTTTACATGTTAAAATATATAGATTTATTTAAACACAAACCTATTAATCAAAATGTGCAAAATTGGATTAAATTATGTTTTTGGTAACTATAGAGAGTTCTATAGTTAACGCTACCCAAGATT